TAAAAAAAAGAAATTACTAATGAACCAACTCAATATTTTGAAAACAAATAAACAGAAAGCATGAGGATTTTTCCTGCCTTTTCTATTGGGGCTATAACTTTGGCAGCCTAATACCTGACAAAGAGAAGTGTTTGTTTATACATGATTGACATTAATAAATGGAGAACAAAATACAGAATTAGAATATCACCATTTTTTACCTCTTAATAAAGATCTGTACATATGTGTATATTTCTATGTGTGTATATGTATATATACATGTATATACATGTATATATATATATATACATACAAACATGTTTGCATATTTATGTGTATGTGTGCATGTGTTCACTTGAATGCTGGATCTAATATGGCCATAACTATCAGATAGTGGCAATATAGGGGACAGAATACCATGTTAAATGATGTTAATAATATCATTAGCAAAATCTCCATTATGAGATATTCTACAGAACAAAAAAAGTTGCAAGAACAAAGGAAAAACAGAAGGAAAGAATAAAAGAAGGAAAGAAGGAAGGAAAGAAAGGGAGAGCAGACTGACAGTTTAATTAAAACAGATTTGAAACAGAATAGTGGTTAGCTCTGGGGGAGTGATATAGATGAATAAGGGGCATGAGGAAATATGGGGTGCCAGGTATGTTCTATATTTTAATCTGTATATTCATTATACACACATTTATTGAGCTGTATATCTTAGATTAGTATACTTTTCTTTCTTTACTGTATGCATTTTATATCTTCATAAAAATTTGTAAGAGAGAGAGAGACTAATTTAAAAGACATGCCAATTATATGAAACATATGGGCCTTATTTGGATCTTTATTTAAACAAAAAACTGAAAACAGATTAGACAACTGAAGATGTGTGAACTGTGACTGTTTGCTCATTAATGTATCATGGATGTGTTTCTTAGTAGTGTTTTATCTTGTGGAGGTATGTTCTGAAGTATTTACGGCTAGAGTAATATGGTGTCCAGCAAGTGAGAGGCAATGCTGCTGTAAGGTCGCACATATAAGGATTTCAATTGCCAGGAAGAGCGAGCCCTGAATAGAGAAGAAGATTATGCATCTTAGACCAAAGGCTTCAGTCAGTGGAGGTGAGTGTGCAAAAGGTTGGTGGATAACAGGGGAGGCAGCCCAGTGGCATAAATTTCAGAGGAACAGAACTTCACAAGCAGGTAGAGTAGCAGCTCTCTGAAACACCCAGGAAAGATCAACTGCCCTCTTGGCTCAGAGGTTGGAGCTGGTAAGAAAATAAATAGCTCCTGCATGCTTGATCCTGCTGTAATTGTCACACAAACACATTGTGCTCTCTGGTACAGCTTGTTAAACATTTCACATCTGTTGGTTTGTTAATTCTAATTTGCTTTAAAATGTGTCTTCTTATCTACATAGTGGCATTAGAAACAATCTTTCCAAATGGATTTCCTTTCACCATACATAGAATACCGAATAAACAAGATACTGAGAAAAGATCAAAACAAATAAATAAGTTAAATGTGTTTTGTATAAAATCAAAATCTTACTGATAAATTTCTATCAAGATGTCCCTACTGGGGGAGAAAAACAAAAAAACCTAGAGTTATTCTAAAAATGAACACACCAGTACAGTGTACCAACTATATCTCAAGCATTATTAATGTAGAATATTGTATTGTGGTGGAGGTTGGATCTCCTGTACACTTCCAAATTTATAGCTACACCCACCCAACAGGTGTCAAATCTGACACATGTCTATCTAAGCCTTGGCAATAGATACCAGAAAAATAAGAATTGCTTTTAATCCCTCTCATGCTCTATTGTTCCCTATATGCCCTTGTAGGTATAGTACAGTTAATATGAGAGGCTTAAACAATTATGAGTTTATTTTTCACCCTAATAAGACATAGTTCCACAAATTCATCAATGCCTGGGGATATTCTTATTGTCTGCCATTTTTAGCATGGCTCTTCCATTCTAATGTTCTCTACCTCCAGTCTCATAAGCTGAATTCCAAACAGGAAAAGGAAGGAACAAGGAAGCAGGGTCATTGCCCCAATTAGGAAACAACAATTTGCTAGAACTCCCAGCAACTTCCACTTAGGTAGCATTGCCCAGAACCATGACACACAATCACAGGTAGCTGCAAAGGAGTATGGGAAACATGTCTTTTAAAAAATGAAAAGAACAACAACAACAAAACAAAACAAAAAACAACTGGGTACCTGGCCATCCCAAATAAAATTGGGTTTGCTAGTAATGCAGAAGTAAAAGTAAAAGTGGATATTTCATCTAAAACTAACAACATCTATCATAGGTATATAATACAGACACATATACATATATACACAACTAGATATGCAAACATATTAAAGACTAAATTATAGAAAAGATTAGAACAAATACTGTTTCTTTTTTCCTCTATGTACAAGCATTACAAATCTATTAAGAGGATCTGCCTTGGGATATTAGTTTATATTGCTCTTGTATTTCTCTGGTAATATTTAAATATCTTATGCTTCTCATACACATTGGGGATTAGTCTCAATTTTCAAGGACTAAGATACCTAATTAAAGCAGAAAGCCTTACTAAATCACATCAAATTATACCCTTTGGGGGCAAAAAGATGTACAGCAGTGAAAGGCATATACAGTGTCAAATTTGTTCTATTTTTGCATTTCTTTTTTCTTTGCACTTCCCCTTTTTCATAAATACATCTTCCCAGAAGGACTACCCTGCACTCATTCTTCAGGGCTTCCTTCCTCGTAACTGCTCACATATTCACTCTTTCCAATTTTGAAGGCTTTTGAAATACTCAAGAAAAATATTTGATCTCAGAGATATGAAAGGAATGATTTCATCTTCAGCCATCCCTATGAATTCCCCGGTCTTTACAGATTTAAAAGATTCCCAGAGCACTAATATAGAAATTTTTCACAATTTTATTATTTAAAATATTTATACTTCTCAATTATGCAAGTAATGGACAATTTTATTGCATTTATTATAGGTCTAATTCTTACTAGTCAGTGCGCTTACTACATATGCAGTTTATAAAATGGAAGAGATATATGCAGTCAAGTTTATCTTACAACTTTCTCCTATGTTTACTGCACCTTCAACCAGCCAGGTTCCAGGGATGAATATCTACAGTGTTATTCATGCAAAACCACTGCCCAGTGAAGAGAACCTCAGGAAATGTAACTGTTCTTCCTTGACCCATAACATCCATGTGGCTTGGACCACTGCTGAGAGCCTGAGCTCCATTTCTCTTCTCAAGGGAGGTTACTAAGACCTAGAAAACACCCCAAAGGAGTGTGAGGTGATGAAAGGGAAGCACAGCTTGGAAAATGACACAGCGATCAAGTCTTACTAGCTCAAAAAGATAAATTCTATTTAGGAAATGTAAAGCTCATGGCATCAGAGACTTTGCAAAGCCTTTAATGATTCCCTTAAATGATTAATTTCAATCTAAAAAAATGTGCTGACTTCCCATTGGATAAGAGGAACACACCTAGGCCCTAAAGATAGAACGGTGAGCAGGACAACCTCACAATAGATAGTTCAACCACAAAATAGTGATACGATTTCTAAGCAAAATTAAAGTGTGTGATGGGATTTCCAGGAGGATTAGACAACTAAACCATGGGGTTATAAATGCTTCCAGAAAACAGGAGATGTCTAGGTTGGGGAGGGTGTCCTGAGGCTCTGGGTTTCTAGAAGTGCCCAGTTACCTAATCAGGAGGTAAACTGGGAGCTACCTGCTACACTAGCACAGTCTGAGAAACACAGACTAAGCTAAACGAAAACATCTTTATATTTTATAGGTTATTTAAATAAGTTTGTGGTTTAAATTTAAAGGAGAAATGCAGGACATTTCTGCTAAGCCTTTAGCAGAAAATCTAAGTAGAAGAAACTCACTTTCTTTTCAACTGCCAACTTCTTTCATAGTGGATTTTCTTGGAGTGAAGTGAGCACATTCTTTCACAGCTGTTTCTGGTCATTTCTGTTGGACACTTAGTGTGGTTGCTTCCACAACTCCTGGGTTACCATACCAAAGGGGACAAGAAACCACGACTCTTCTTGCTGAAGAGGAAGACCCACTTAGGACAGGGCTGAGATGCTGTTAAGCCCCACTTCAGATTTTCTTTCTTCCCTGGGAAGAGGGCCTTCCCATGGGCCTTCTGTTCAAACAATGTATTCATGCTATTATATAAGGTGACCATTAAATATTCACTTCTCAGTGAAAGAAAAGTCAGTCATGAAAGGGCCTAAATGTGGAACAGCTTTATGTAGTCAACCTTAGTATCAGAAACAACAATGTAAGTTTCTGATGTGCTTTCATTTAAAACATTTATTCTTTCCAGAGAAAAAAGAAGAACACCATCATTTGGATGGCTCCTCTATTTCTGTGCCAAAGACTAGGTAACACATATGAATAAGAGGAAATGACTTCTAAAATTATGTAAGTCCTAGAGAAATAATTAAATAACTAAAGAGAAAGTTCATGAAATGTGAAGGGAAACAGAGTGTACAAAATAGAATAGGACTTCATGCTAGATATAGTGAGACTTCCGGGATCACATTTATCTTTCTTTTTGGGAAAACATGATACGGGTGCAAGCAATGTCTCATGTAGTGAATCATGGTCTGCCACCTTCTTCTGAAGAGCAGGTATGGTTTATTTCCTTGAAGCTTAACCAAAGCTGAGACTATCGTAGGTATTGCCAGTGAAACCTGTGTATTCAGGCATATAGAAAAAGGAGGCTCATATAGTACCTAATTGGTAACTGTTGCAGACAAAGTATATTGACTACCTACTATCCATTCTCTCCTCTGTCTGCCTAACAGAGCTCTATTTGCTTGGGAATGGCGGTGTGTCCTGCCCAGGAGCGATGACCACTCCCATAATGCTGGAGTGACTTTGTGACGCAATTATAATGAAGTAGAAGTAGAAGACTGCTAGGAACTCTGGGTAAACATGTTCTTTTCCTATTAAAAGCAAATATATGGTTTTTTGAACACAGTTGTGGTAACCGGAGCAGCAGCAACCATTCTACCGCCATGGCGCCACATCAACGGACTCAAGATGACACGGCAGAGAGAAGATGTTTAGATCTTTCTTAACAATGTCGAGCCGCTGTACCTACCCTGAACAGCCTTCCTCTGGAATAGTGAGAAAATTGTTACTTACAAGTAAGCTTTGTCCCAACCCAATTATTCTACTACTCATATCCTTAGAAGCATATGGGAGAAGAGATGAAGAGCATTCTCTTCCTCCTCCACCACCATCACCACTCCCTCACCCCTGTCTGCATTCCCAACTGCCACCATGGAGAGAAGCCTGTTAGAGTAGAAAGAATATCTGAGTTGAAATAAGAATACCTGGGTTCATTCCAGCTACACAACTTAATAACGAGGTAACACTCTCAATTTCTTCTATAAAAATCAAGATAATGATTAAGTTAACAGCACATTTGCTGAACAACATGAAAAGTGATGGTTGGCTTAGAATCTCAGTAAATCAGGAAGCAGATAGGGTAGAAAATCTCAATCAATCAAAAAGTAGGTTGGGGTGGGGATAAATACATCTTTATATTCACCTCTGGATCAGCTTCAATGTCACCCAGTTTTTACCACCATATTCTGCATTTCCAGAATATCTAATCCCCTTGTTACCTTGTCAATTTAGTACCACTCAGAGTTACCTGACCCTCGGGGTGGGCAAGTAACCAAAGCTATCTATACTTTGTAGACTTTTTGTAGCAAGAACTTGTAGTTTTCCCCTGCTCTGGGATTATTAAATTGACATATATAGAAAAGACCTGACGTACAATTTTACATATTGGAAAGATCATCTCTTTCTGACCACCATTTTTTTTTCAAATGAAAATGAAGCCAGCATTGCAGTTGGTGAAGACACCCCTGTTATTAAATACTTGTTTAGTGTAAACCAATCCTCATGAGAAGTCACTGGAAGGAACAACTCCCAATATGATGTGCAAATTGAGGCTATGAGTTCCCATCAGTCTTACGACAATTTACACAATCAGATTCTAGTATCTCAAGAACATATGAAACTTAGATCTTCTTTTACTTCTAAGATCCACCTTGATTTTTAAAAGCTATTATTAAAATACATATATAGAAAATACAAGAGGCTAAAATTATACCTACGGTAAACATAAGACATAAGTACCTGTCACATGACCTTAAGTTTTTTATGATTCTGGTTGTTTTTAATTGACCATTTGTTGCTGTAACTAAATGAAATTCATTACAGAAAGCAGACTACACAGGCAATTGAGCCATCTTACTGGGAAATTCTTTACAGTCTTTATAAAAAAAGACAGCAATCTCTCGCCTTAACTATATTTTGTCAGGGCTTTCAATTACCCTCTAGGAAATTCAGAGAAGGCATAGTCAGTCCTGGTGTGACTTTTAATGAAGGAAAGATGTGAACTTTTTATGAAGGAATGTATTGTTCTTCTCTCCCATTCAATAGAGCATGGTGGGTGGGTTTACTCCACGAAGACTCACTTATCCAGTGGATGACAGGCAGTGAGGTGTCCCCAGTCAGCCCATGATTAATAATAAGTGCAAGCTTAGAAGAGCAAAGTTGCACATGTTACAGTCTTACATAGACTAATGTCGCCAGCAGGAACAAATCTTTTTCTAAGGAATTCATGTTTTCTTTACTGCTATTTTGTCAAAAGGCCATGTAGTATTGAATCACAAAGCTAACAAAAACAAATATATTCTTTAAACACTGTTAAGAAGAGCATTTTACTTGCAACAGTCTTCAACAACTTTGTGAAAGCCCAAACTGTCTCTGAGCCTCAGCTTCCTTGTCCTTAAAATAAGATTATACTAAGCAACCTCTAATTTTCCTTTCTCTTATAATGTTCTGTTACAGGACCCAACACTCTCTGCTTTAAAGAAGACTTGCTTCTTCACAGTGACTGTACTGAGGCTGAACACTTTTGTGTCAGATACCCTGTGGGCTATGTAGGCGTTGTGGGACTTTGACCAAATTATCTAGACTCTCTGACCTTAGTTTTCTTATCTCTAAAATGGTCATAGTAATAGCACTTCATTCATAGGGCATTCGGAAGCTCAAAGTGGATCTTACCTGGAAAGCACTTAGCATAATGGTTGCTGTGATGCAGACTCAATACATGTCAGTTATCTTCATTATCAGAGAAAGGCACCTGTGGACACTGATGCTGTGGAATTTACATTGCATCATGGACTTCCCTGACCAGAAAATTCTCCCCTAGCCCTCTGCCAAGAGTTTTTCAGGTTCAAGTAGATGTCTGTGAATTTAAAACAGCCTTTTTTAATACGTAAGTACTCCTGAAGGATGAACAAATTAAGCTACTGCCAGTAATTCACTCTGTGATGTATATTATTTTATTATGTCCTCTGGCTAGTTGGGGACAATGTGCTGAGAGCCAGCAAGTTGTGCTGAGGGAGGAACAGAAGAGAATTTATGCAATACCAAGCCATGCTGGTTGGCTTATGGGGGTGGGCAGCACAGGGCCAGAGATACTGGCAGAGAAAAGAGCAGCGGACAGATGAACCAGACGCCAAAAATGACTTGGCCTGAAGCCAGCCTTGTTTCTTGAAATAGTAACCTGTTACTACTTTGAGGAAGGAACCAAGTTCCGTTCATTTGTCCTCCCCAGAACAAAACACAGTAGCAGAGTAATGAGAATATAGGAGCTAATCAATGTGTTAAATTGGGTGTCAGCACACAACAACCTACTTCCTCTTCTTTTTTTTTTTTTTTTTATTTAAATAGAGTCTTTCTGGATCACAGCCAGGCCCATTTGTTTGTGCACCATCTATGGCTGCTTTTATGTTCAATAACAGATTTGAGTAGTTGTGACAGAGACTGCATGGCCTGAAAAGCCTACAATATTGGCTATTGTTTCCAATCTTGCCCTATACAGATAAAGTCTACCGACCTTTGCATTAAATAAATGATGAACACATAAGAGAATGAATAAATGTAATTGTAGAATTTTTTAAAACACATTTTCAAAAAAATAATAAAGATAAGAGGAATGACCAGTTTTTTCTTTAGGACAAATAAAATGGTAAAAACAGATAAGAAAAAGATAGGGTTGGAAGCTCAGAACTGCTAAATAATGAACCACATTCAAACCTACTCTGTTTAGTATGTACTTGTGTTCTGTTTATTTTCAAAATCTATGTTTGGAGCATTCCAAGTTTGGTGGATGTGGTGGGGGTGGAGTGTGGCAAGAATAATAGTCAAGGACAAATACTATGAGATCTTCTCCAGGATTGTATTGTGGAATCAAGTCACTTAGCAGAGAGAATACCTTTTATTTACCTTGCTAATTTCTGCACTGCTAATCAAAGGAAGGAGGACAAGTTGAGAGGGTAATTAGTATCCTTGGTATACCTGGAAGACAGGCACCATTTTGTAGAGTAAGTACTCTTTAGTTGGGCATTAATAAAGGTTTGAACCCTATGACCCTGAAGAGGGTCTGGCATCTTTGCTCCAAACTACTCATGAAGTTTAACCTACAGGGGACTGCCAGATTTCTCTAACATTGAGCCAGAAAAAAAACAATAAGGGATAAGAAAAAATAAAGAAAGAAAGAAACCATTTTACCAGGAGGAGCACTGCTAAACTCGTAACTTGGATGACTTTAAGAAGTGTTTGGAGTTTGAAGTAACAGAGTAGAACACACATATGAGATGCTTTATGATTAAGAGTTTGGACTGACTTCTAAAAATTTTTTAATGTTTATTTATTTTTGGAAGAGAGAGACAGAGAGAAAGTTGGGGAGGGGAAGAGAGAGAGGGGGACACAGAATCCGAAGCTGTTAGCACAGATCTGGGCATGGGTCTAGAACCCACAAACCTGGAGATCATGATCTGAGCTGCAGTTGGATGATTACCTGACTGAGCCACCCAGGTGCCCCAGGACTTATTCTTAACACCTTATTTATTGTTCTCCCACAGAAATCCCAAAGTGCATGAAGACAGTACAGTCTCTCAGAATAACTTAGACTAAAAACTATGGTCGCTTTAAGTGATAGCTGGTTATTCTTTTAATATTGTCAAATTTTAATCAGACTGTGCTATGAGGATGAAACTAAGATATAAAATGAGATCAGTCGTTGAATAACACTCTAAAAATCACAACTCCTGGAGAAGAGAAGGAAGCCACAAAATGCTGGAAATTCTACCAGCACCTGTGAAATAAGCAAAGGAAGAAAGATTTTTGTTTTAACCAAGGAATAAGCCACTGCTCTTGACCCCTGGCTGATGTGAAAAGAGACCCATATTGGGGCCATTGCCTTTCTTTCGTGTTCTAGTATGTGCTCCTAGCTCAAAGGGAAAACCATTTTGTTTCATAAAGAGTTCTATAATTTTATTTTGTACCAACTACATACCACAGTTGCTTTTACTCCACTGAAAGAAGTTCTTCTCTCTTACTTTCATTTAGGGAATCTTTTGTGAATGGCAACAGGGCAGGTAGGTCATTTCCAATCACAATCCTCTGACCAGAAACTGTGCTCAGAAGTTTCCCTTTCAAACCTGCTTTACTCTTTCTCTTCGTCTTTATCACCATCAAAACATTTGCCAGGAACTTATAATGCAGACAGTAATATGAAGGGAATGTTAGAGACAGGTGTTTGTACACATGTATATCTGTGTGTGGGGAGTGGGTGGCAGGAGGAAGAGAGGTATGAAAACATTACTTACAGAGAGAATCCTGTTACCAAATACTCAGAGTGGTCAAGAAATAAAACAATGGAAGGCTTGCCTTATTAGAACAAAGGACTTAGAAGGGAAGAGTGATTATGAAAGACCTTATATTCTGGGATAAGAGGTTTCTATTCTATTCTGCATCTAACAGAAAAGCACTGAAGGGTTTAGGGGAAAGGCTGATTTTGCCAAAGTAGTTGATTAAACTAACAGCCCACTTGGAATGGAGTTGAAAAGAAAAATCCAAAGACAGGAAGAAAACAGCCTCAAGAGTTGGAGGGGAGGTTAGAAAAAGGCCCAGAATTTAGTGAAAAGATATATTTCTTAAGCATAATAAAGGAAAAAAGACATGGGACTGATTTGGGATGAAAAGACAGAAGAATCAAAGAAAACTCTGATATTTGGAACCCAGGTGACAGGAAGGAAGAACGATGAAACCATGAACAGAAATGGAAAAGTCTAGAGAAAGAGTCAGATTGGAGAAAAAGATGTTGAGTTAGATTTTAGACCAGAAGTGTTAGACCTTGGTCACCATCTTTCTTCTTTCCATCACACACTTATTCTAATCAGTGTCATGAGATAATCAAAGATGATTTGGCTTATCATGGCACTGCATGACCCAGCATGGCAGTGCCATTAATTCAGTGGCAAGAAACCATGCCACTCTTTCACTTCACGTCAATTTCAGGGACTGTGGAATTCACCCTTTGCCACAGAAGAAGAGGGGAAAGTTACAGGAAACTCTTAGATGGGCATCTTGCTTCCAGACAAGGAAAGAGCAAAGCCCTATGTAGCTTCCTCGTCCACTGCTTTTCCAGCTGCTTTGCCAGGGCCTCCATCTTGCTGTCCTGACTCCTTTAATAACCACTGTGACCTGAGTAGGTAGTAAGATGTATCCAAAAAGCATTTTCCTTCAATATAGTTAAAACTTTACACTGTAAAATTTCTTCTTATAAAATAGCAGAACAAAAATTTTCTTATTGGTGCTCTTTCAAAAAAACGTAAACAAAGGAAAGAGGAAGAAAAAGAAAGAAAGGTGTGGGGGGAGAGAGGGAGGCATGAAGACAAAAGTAAAGGAAGAAGAGAGGTAGGGAGCAAGGGGGAAAACGAGAACAAACAGAAAGGAAATAGAGTCAAGGAGAAAGCAAAGCACCGATAACAGAAGTAAAGAACTTTTTAAAATATTAGGTAAATCACTTTCGTACCTTAGAATCTTCACTGTCCCTATTGGTAGAGAGGTATAACGATGCATTATTATGCACCTAAGGGACATGAGATGAGGTGAAATGATACTAATTATGTAAAAACAAAAAAGTAATTGAAAAAAGTTTAACAATATTAAAATGTGAATATTAAAAATATGGAATGATCAAGAACCATATTAAAAATTAAAATAATAAATCACATTAAATATGATATTAGTGTCACATTATTGGCTTTTCCTCACACTAATGGGCAACATATTCAAACACTGAATATTAATGTTACCTATTAGAAAACCAATCATAATAAAAGTCAATGATGGTAGATAATTAGGTATTAGTGAAACCAAGCCACACTGGCAGAAATAAGGATTTTCTTTTTTTTTCTTTTTTAGTATATAAAAAGATATTATCTTGTAGTTCCTCTAAATAACAAAATTTGCTTTGGGTGATAAGTATATCTTAGACCAGCTTGAAGTTTATAATAACTTGTCTCTTGAGCATTATCTACACTTACCATATAGTAAAGTTAATTAAATAACCTATCAAGAATACCTCTCTCTTCCCATTCCATATTTTTTCCACTTACAACAAACAAATAAAAAAAATCCTGACCCTAAATAATGAGATAATGATGTAAAAGCAAAGTTTGGGGACTGACTTACATTAGATGCGAGGCTAATAACCTCTGGGCTTTCTTTTTGTCATCAGAGATGAACATGGAACTGCAATTCTTTTTCCTTCTTCTTACATATAGGTAAGTTTCATAAATAAAAGGAGCCCTTCAAAGATGGCCTTTTCTCTTTTAATGGGCAGAGACAAAGACAATGCTATGTAGCTTTCAAGAAGAGCTTACACAAGCAAAAAGAAAGGCAAAGACATTAGATAAAAGAAAGATGAAGAAATGAGCATTTGGAGGGTCAATGGGAGACCTTGTTGACTTCCTAGGAACCTCCTAAAAGCCATTCTTGTAACTGCCATCCGACCCTGGGGGAGGGGAAGTCCCTCCCTCTTCTTAGAAATAAGTCCTCATACACTTCCTCAAGATATGAACTCCTTTTGACTCGTGGTTGTGCCTGGGACTCTTGCCTCCCTCTGATGCTGCCAGTTCAACCACTGCAGAGCTCGTCCATGTTCTACACAGCTCCAAGCACCTGTGCAAGCTTACAGATGCTAGAAGTGAGCTCAGCTGTGAAATAATGCAGTCAAATACCAGCACACAAGTTCCTATCTCCAGACATTCCTCTCCCATTTTGTACTGCCACTAAATATGTTACTTTCTAAAAGGCAACACATAAAAACAACTGCACTCACTGAACATTTGTTTGTGCTAAACCGTCTAGGAAGATTGCTAGATCCTACTTTTAAAAGGGTAGAATGGTCCCTCAAACCTTATAAGCAGATAGGAGTCTTTCAGCCCAGTATTAGTTAGCTCATTTTTATTTACTAGTAGTAGAATTTATCTGCCATCAACTTCTTCAAATACCTCTAGCTATTTTGTTAAGTGCCTCAGACAATTTTCACATTGTTTCCCTGTTTTAATGCAGTGAGATGGCTTTGGACACCCCTCTGACCCCAGGATATTTGGACCCACAAACATTGGTTTCCTCCCCATCTTCCAAATGAATGATGCATCAGTGAAGTAGCATGGATTGGGAAGTGTGGTGATAGAGACCTCTGACTACAGAGTTCCTAACTTTTCAGTGTCCTGATTTAAATAAATCTGCTTTGCAAAAGGTTAAATTTACATGACCAATTAATCAATTAGGAGTAGTTACATTTCAAAATGTCTGCTTATCCAAATGGTTCATTTCTGGTTGTTTTTAAAATGTAGAAAGTTTCAAGTTTATAAAATCTTTCTCCAAAAGATTTTTTATGATGTTGCTTGGTGAAACATAGAACATATTTTACCTAAAAAGTAAATTTATAAATGATGGATAGAAATCTAGGGCAGCTCAGATACCCATTTAATTTATAGAGAGTTTGGTGTTGTCCACCCTCCAGTAATGCATTTACTCATTAAACAAATAGTTATTGAGCAGGGACAATGTGCTAGGCACTATTCCAGATGCTGAGGACACAATCTATAAAGTGTCATTTCTGAAGGGATTTAGGTCCTAGCAATGAGAGAAATCAAGAGAGAACCAAGAAAACGATACATAAGCAATGCTATCTTAGATAGCAATAAGTGCTAAGAAAAAAAAAAATTGAAGCTGGAAAATGTAATCAAGCTGAACTTGGACAAGTGGGGAGAAGAGGGCCATATTTGATAGAGATTAAAGAAGATCTTGCTGAGAAGCTCACACTTGAGCTAAGACCTGAAAGATAGAAGGATCTGGGAGAGGCATAAGACAATCTGGCAGAAGAGTATTTTAAGCAGAAAGAATAGTAACAGCAAGAACGGCCATGTAGTGAGAATGTCTGGTGTATATAAAGAACAAATAGATGGCCAGTATGGCTGGAATAACATAAACAAGGTTGAGGGTAGTAGAAAAGGAGTTTAGAGAGCAGGGTGGCAGTCATATGACGTGGGCTTTTTCAGCCACAGTATTTGGATTTTGTTCAAACTGCACAGGGCTTACTAGTCCCAGAACCTCTAGATATATTTTAAATCATCTTTACTGCTCTTCTTTGGGGACTGAACTACAATGGTCTATGGGAAAAATAATATCACAGTTGTTGGATTTTCAGGACAATATCTCCCCCATTTCAGTATGAATTTTTTTTTTCTTTTTTGCTTCTTCTGTCCCACAGGTAGAGCAGGGCCAGAAGGAAGTTCTGAACTCATCAGTTCATTCAGTTCATTCATCAGTTCATTCTCTCAAAAGAATCATTGAGTGAATGAATGGATGGATGAATGGATGAATGAATGAATGAACGAAAGAATGAGAATCACAAGTATGCAAGATTAGTAAAGTTTCTGTCTTCACGAAGCTAGGAAAGTGGATAGAGCATGGCATAAAAGTAGTTAGGGGAGGCCATTTAGGGGTAGACTAGAGGAGGTAAGCAGAAAGGAAAGAGTGCTCTAGATATCACTGGCTTTCTACCAATATAACTCCATGCTTTGGAGCCTGGAGACAAATACTCCCAGTCATTTCATCATTTCTTTCCTTCTTCGGTTCCCAGGGCTGAGTGATGGAACCACGGAACAGCAAGTGTCTAATGGAGTCCATTGAGAATCAGGTCTGAGAACAGAAGGGAGGGGTTTTGTAGGAGCAGCCACTCCAGTTATGGTGAGTTAGGAGGAGTACTGGCTGGCTTCTCCATGATGCTCAAAGGAAGGAGGGTTTGTGTATCTGACTTAAGGCCCTGCAGGAGCCCCCAGAGATCATGGGCTGGAGCTAAAACATTGACCCAAACCTCAGGGGAAACAAGGCTAATCTTTGGCTGTTTAAGTACACATTGGTAGTTAAAATACTGAAGGACACCTGTGGTAGTGGTTCTTAAATAGTTGCTTCCCCAACCTCCCTAAATTCCCCTCAAATTGTCCAGGCTACCCCAGGCGCTTCCCTGGAATGCTCATGATTGCCCTTATTCAAGCAACTAACAGGGCTTCTAAGGCCAGGGCCTAGTTTAGCACTTCAGACTATGACCATTATGATTGGTAAGTACCTGAGCTATACCTGTTATTAAATACTTTGAATATCAAATTTTTTAAAATGGAGATAGACTCATGGGCTCAACTGAGAAAGAGCCATGATCCCCACAGATCCCTGGGACAGAGCACACTTACCATCATACTCCTGGCCTTGAAACAGTCCCTTTGATGTTTTAACAGCAACACGTGTTTTATCTTTTCCTTTCTGTGTTATCCCCCTCTCTCACCCCCTTTCATTTGCACACACTGTTTCCCACTCAGTACCCCACCCCTTTGCCCTCTTCTTAGAAGCCTTTTCAGACCATCTTGGGCTGGGTTAGTTTAGAAACCCTTTCTCCAACAACAGCTTAAGACACTCCACGTTTTCATTCTTCACACGTTATTTGAGTATGATAACTTGTCTGTCACCCTGGCCTGTAAGGTCCTGAGTGTGCGGACTTCATATGCTGTCCCAGGACCTGGTACAGAGGGTAAACCAAAACCAAAACTAAAACAGAGAAGAGCCTGGAAAAATGTTGGAAGGCAGTGTGGAAAAGAAGAGGAAGGGAGGAAGGATGGAGCTAAGAGAGAAAGGGAAGAGTTAAATAGGTGAGGGAAAGGAGGATGAGTGGAATGGAGAAAGAGAGAGGGGATGAGAGAAACAAAGCAAGAACGAAAAGGAGAACAGGACCAGGATGGGAAGGGGAGGAGAGGGAAGAAAGGAAGAAGCAATGGAAAAGAGAAGAGAGGCAGGTAAGGAATAAAGAGGAAAGAGGACAGGAAGAAGGAGAAATTGAGGGAGAGGGGAAGAAAGTGGAAGATGTGATTGACACATCTTAGGGACCTTTTCAGAACAGCAGAACACCGACTGATGAATGACATAAGGCTCTGCTCCATGCTGGCATTAGATTCTCACCTCACAGCCATCAGATTTCTTTCTGAATAACCTTTTTATGAGCTGTGACTGCATTCTAAGTCTTTCCTAAGCCTAACTGTATTATTTCTGCCAGTCTGGCTTTTGTTTTCCCCACATTACTGTGAGTTTTGATTAGTTAGGGAAACAGGCTTTACTCGAATAATAGTTGGGCTGAATTGTTCCTATCTCACTATGTTGAATGCTATTTTCTTTTCATTTAATGATTTTCTTATTTGGAAGGATAGCAGGGATAAATTAAAAAAAATTTTTTTGAGAATAAAGTTTCCTGTCAGAAATCATAGACAAGTCAGCAAGAAATCACTGATTACAAGAACTGTAAAAGAATAGATGTTATGAGGAATAAATTAAACACTTCTCAGGTTTTTTTTGTTCAGCTCTAACTCAATAATAATTGATTTTCCAATGATTTGGTCAATATGGCCCAAAGCACCACTTTTATTGTCCAAAGGGGAAGAAAATGAATAGGGCATTAGGCCCACCTCTGAAAGGAACATACTTTGTTACTGACATCCTCACCATTTTAGCCAATGACTTTAATGCATTCTAAGGGGTCTGAAATTATAATATAATTATTGGCCAAGCTATTACAGCTGCAGTGGAATTTTCATCAGCCCTGGACCCAGCAATTCAGGATCACTTCCTGACACTGGGCTTTTGAAGATCTCAATAGTACTTTTAGCGATTTCCAATGAAATCATAATGGAATTTCCCAAATGGTCACTTAAAAGTTTTATTGCTCTAAGTGATTTGACCTTGGCAGGTCACTTAACCTTCTCTGGATCTTACTTTCTTTATCTTTAAAGTGAGGGATTTGTACTAAATTTTTTTTTTTTTACAAATAGTTTATTGTCAAATTAGTTTCCACATAACACTCAGTGCTCATCCCCAAAGTGCCCTCCTCCATGCCCATTCCCCCCTACCCCCCACATCCATCAGTCCTCAGTTTTTGTCAGCATTCAAGAGTCTCTCATGGTTTGCCTCTCTCCCTTTCCCCCAACATTTCCGCCCTTCTTCTCCCCCTTGTTCCTCCGTCAAGTTCCTCTTCCTCAGGAAACTAACAACAGAACTCCCTTATGACCCAGCAATAGCACTGCTAGGAATTTACCCAAGGGATACAGAAATGCTGAGGCATAGGAGCACATGTACCCCAATGTTCATAGCAGCACTCTCCACAATAGCTAAAACATGGAAAGAGCCTAAGTGTCCATCAACAGATGAATGGATCAAGAAGATGTGGTTTATCTATACCATGGAATACTACATGGCAATGAGAAAGAATGAAATCTGGCCATGTGTAGCAACATGGATGGACCTTGAGGGTGTTATGCTGAGCGAAATAAGTCAGGCAGAGAAGGGCAAATATCATATGTTTGCATGTACTAAATTATTTTTAAGGCTCCTCCCCACTTTAAAATTCTGAAAACCACATGGAGTAAAACACAAGAATACAGAAGAAAATGAGCTAATATATTACTGGTAGAACTTACACTATTATTTAAGATCTTACAGATATAATACAGCTTAGGGCAAAGGTGATGAAGTCCACTGTTTTTGCCAAGAACTATGACATGTAATCTATTTTGTCTAAGAATACCTCTACTGGGAGAGCTCGGGAAAAAAATACAGATGATTTATCACTTCATGGCTACTTCCTGGCCATACCTAGATGGCTGTCATCTCCCTGCATTAGGTACTCACTTCTGGAGTCGCACCATCTTAATATTTGTCAGTGTGAGACTGAAACAGCAGTCTTTCAGATCTTTAAGTATCAGCTTGTAAAGAACCGCCAAAGATTTTGACTATGTTGACCTAGTAACCTTATAGAACAAACTGTCATTTACAGAACAACTCAAGTTTAAAAACTGTTATTTTATGTCCAATTAAGGGGAGTTTATCTTTGGCATTTTCAGGAAAAGAGACTCTTGAGGATACATTAAAGTTTACCTAAAGAAATAATTTTAGGATTAAATAGATTCAAGGAGCAGTTGGTTGAATTCACCTTCACTGTATAGACATAAATTTAAGCAAGAGTGGATTTCTCTTTAATGGAAAGAGACCAAGAATAACTGATGGGAAACAAATAAGGCCATAATAATTCACAGAATATTAATGGACTTGTCCAGGGAGAAGTTAATAATTTGTCAGTCCATGTATCCATTCCCAAGAGGATGTTAAGACAGGTCTCAGGGT